AAGGATCACCTTATGTTTGCTCAATCTCTGGTTGTATAAGAAATAAACAGAGATTCTTAGAAGTAGGTGCAAGGGGCTCTGTTACATCCTTTGTGCTCTGGCCAAATTCAGACTAAGGACAGTTGCTCCAAACCATTTTCCACTGGAACTGAAGGTGGAGTTGACCATAGTTGCCAGCTTGCAAATCCTTGATGGTAGAGAAATATTTTGTGATTAAAATACATTAAAAGATCTTTTTTATTTTAGGAGACTGTATAAGACTGCTCCGATATATACTTCACCAGAACAATACGAAACCAAGGAAATGTCTGACATTTTAGAGCAATTAAAAGCTTTGTAGTCAAATATGGCATACCTTTACGCAGTGTCCTTCAAATATAGTATTACAAAATGCCTCAGAGTCAGCCATAAACTAAGGGAAAAAAATGTTGGAAGTTAAAATTTAAGGAGAGGAATTGACTGTACATCTGAGAGGAGGCCAAGGATTTTCATGGATTGGCAGTATAAGTAAAAAAGTGAACTTTCCCTACTCTACCAATGGGAGGAGAAAAGCCCAGAATGGAGAGGCAGAGCAAGTGGAGGGAGTCAGTGTCGATCAAACTGGGGAGGAAGGGTGGGTTTACAGCCAGGAAGACATTTGTAAGCCACGAGAGTCACTTTATGTTCGATTTGAAAATTATTAAGAAATCACTGAATATGAGGAAAGCAATGACATGGAAATGGACAGGATAACTTAGTAGCCTATAGTAGGTCTTTTGTTGTTGTAGTTATAAAGATTGTGTGACCCTGGTAAGAGAAGAGAAATATGAAGAGGTTTAAGGTTCCCTAATCCTTGATCTAGGAACATGATTAAAATAATTTCAATAGTGCCAGAGAATAAATGATTCAAGGCAGAGGCAGACAATTATTTCAACTGGAGAGCCACTTAATGAGTTTTCGTGAGCTGTCGAGGGCTGCAAGGGTAGCCCTGCCCCTTGACAGGTGCTCTGCCCCCTGGTCTCCATCTTGGGACTGGAAGTCTCACCCATACCCCTGACTTTTGTCACTGGAATTCCTTCCCCTTGGCCCCTGGAAATGCTCCTTTTGGGAGGGGAGGATTGCTATTTTTGAATCAGAAAAAAACTACATCATATACTAAAAGTTAAACACCTACTATAACATTTTAATTTTATTTAAAAAAATGTTTTTGTCACGATTTTTGCTTGCATAACGTATATAGAGATGAAGTCATAATAATGTGTGTGGTGCGGTTTGTGAGGGGGTGTGGCTGTGTGTGTGGGGGACAACAGGGTACGTTAGGGGGATGTATATGGGGAGTTGTAGGGGAAGGGTGTGGGTTTGTGGGGTGTGAAGGAGAGTGGGAAGGTATGGGGACCCCCCCATGGAGCACAGCCCCACAGGCAGCAGCAGCAGCAGAAGGCAAAGGTACTCGGGGTGCTCATGCCCGGCACAGGCACTGCAGCCGGTGCTGTGCAGCTCAGCTGGCATTGCACATGGGGGGCAAGGAGTGCAGCCTGGCTGGCCTGCCTGTATCGTGTGGGGCTCCCCATGTCACATGTGCAGCTCCCACAGGTGCACACCACCAGGGAAAGTCCTGCACAATGGAGCTGGCAGCTTTCACTGCTCCCTCCCATGCAGGTCCCGGGACTCTACTGGAAGTGGAGGGGAGCCCCAGCCCCTGCTTCCTCATGGAGTCCTAGGACCTGCATGGCATGGGGAGGGGAAGGCAGCTGGCTCCATCACACAGGGCTTCCCATGGTGGCACACGGGTGGGAGCTGCACATATACCGTGTGGAGCCCTGCATGATAGAGACTGGCCAGCTGGGTCTGCTTCTCACCCCCATGTACAGCTCTGGCCAGAGCTGGGCATGAGCACCCCAAGCACCCCCACCTGATGCTGCTGCCAGTGGCGGGG